CACAGCAGCTTCACTGTGTGATTTCACTTTGGTGAAAACGTCTGCTGTGATGTCAGATTCCTCTTCAACTCCTCTACCTTCTGTAGCTTCTGCTCTTCATTCACGTTTTTCAGCTTGTCCTGATGTTTTGTCTCGTAGTGCCGTCTTAGGTTATATTCCTTAATTACAGCCACATTAGCTCCACAAATAAGACACAGGTTTACCGACAATGTCAGTAAACATATACTCAGCCTCCTACTGGTTTAGAAAGGCTCTGTTTTCAGAATCAACTTTTCTCTTGGCCATTGTTAGGGGCTAGCTTTGACTTTAAATTAGGGTTGTATACATCAACAGACGCTTGATTGATCTGATGTAATTGACACGGGAATGATCGCAGGTAGCCGTTGCGCTGCATTATGGGATTTGTAGTTTGTGTGTTGTCGGCGCTTCATATCGCCAGGCCATTAAAGAAAGATGTATAAAATGATCTCGGGCCGGATGTGGCCCGCGGGCCTTGAGTTTGACACGTGGTCTAGACCATACTATTATTATTGTTGTTGTTGTTATCACAGAGGAAAAACCCAACAAATCCCCAAATAGTTAGTATCATTTATTTTGAAATTATGAAATACTTAAAAAACACTCTTAGTTTGGGGATTCGTGTAACAATAAAAAATTGTGTTATTTAAATAACTGACAACAGCTTTGACATCCTGTAATAGCATAATAAACTGACGTAGTGACCGCTACTCTGCAGTCATTCTTAACTCCCATCTCCTCCACTAGCCTCCAACACTCTAGGACTCTAACAGTGGTTTAAAAACTGCTGTAAATGGACTAACAGTGTAATGTTTTAATGGCTGGAGGATTGGCTGGTACCTGTACGCTGAGAGCTGCTGTCACTTAGTTAGGAGTTTTAGTCCCTAATGAGATATAGTGTATAATAGATAGCCAAAAATAATGTCTGCTGAAAACAGCAAACGATTCATTCTAATGATGCCACCTTAGAAACAACAGGAGACAACTGCAGTTAAAAAAAAAAAAAAAGATCGGATAAACTTAAGACTATTTAAGGCTATAAATCTTCAAGAAATGTCTGGTGTGAGAGGGTCACAGATGTAATCAGAGCCCCTCTGACCCATCTGTTGAGCTCCATTTAAAGTATTAAAGCTAGAATACACTGGGGAGAGACTGAGGGACAAATGACCTTTTACACATAAACACCTGGTGTGATAACCAAAGTTCTCCAATTCTGTAAAGTATCAAAAGTGTCACTCCAAACTTGAAAATAAATCTGAAACTGGGTGTTATCTGGAGAAACTTTCATTCCAGTCGATCTTGGCAGCAGTGTGTCTGTCTGCCTTCCAACACAAAGCCAGCTGGCCAGAGAAGTGGGGAGTGATTCTGACAGTTGCTTGACTTGTGAAGTGCAGGTAAAGGGGCTGCAGCAGCTCAACTTCCTGCAGTTCAGAAACATATCAAAAATTAAGTTGTTTTTTCTGCTTTGTAGATTACGAGGTCATCTCTGTTTTTATCTGTTCTTGTTAAGACAACTGCAGACATTGCCCTCACATCCCCAGCTTTTCATTGCTGTGAGTGCCAGTTCTTAGTAAGCAGCACTCCCCAAAATACATACATCTACCTTTTCTTATAGGATGAATGTCCAGTTATTGTTATCTGGACTTGAAATGCTGGCAAGTATTTTGATTCTGGGGATACTATACTGGAGTCTGTCAGCCCATAAACATTACTCTTTTCTCTCTCATTTCCTGTCTATCCAGCTAGAGAAGGGGATGGATTACCATGCAAGGAAAGTGAGCAACTGCCCTGGGGCCCCAAAAGCCCTAGGTTTACTACAACTGACTGTTTTTCGTAACTGATTACTTGCTAAATCCCTATCCTAAACAGTGATTGCCCAGTCATATTAAAAAAAAAAAAAAACGTATGACAAACAGCAGTCAGCTTTGGGTTTCTCCACAATGAAGCATTATGCATGGGGCTGTGCTAGAGCAATACTTCATATGTAAAGTGTTTTGATTGCTGGTTTCTTTTTTAAGTTCTCCAAGACCAAAATTACAAAATCAAAAGTACAAAGAATGGATTAGACAGTGTGTTTGTCTGCCCTATGGTATGCTGCAAAAGTAGCATGTGGAGCTAACTAGCCTCCATCCATCTATACCGCTTATTCCTGAACTAACTAGCTTACAATAGTCAATTAGTTCCAATAACAGTGGCATTTCACACTAACATGCAACCACCAATATAATGTAAAGAGTCCATGGCATGCTTTACTGTGTTTTCTGACTTATCTACAATGTTATCTACAAAAACCGAGGCGTACCTGTATTGCTGTACTTCTATGCAGATGCAGCTTGGTTTAAATAAGTCTCACAAACTCTTGTTGGCGAGACTTTTTTCAACAATGTAAAGTCTTATGTAATAGTTCGTGAATTTCCTTGAATGGTCATATTCCTTTGGCTGTGCATGTTCACATGCGCTTGCCTGACATCAACTGATGCCATATTGAAAGAGGGATTTTTTGCCTGCATGCGGTTTTGTGCATATATTTAATCTCCTGCTGCTGCACAGTGACCAGAGGATGTGAAGACAACACTGCCAACAGGAGTTGTGCACATTCACAAACTATAATAATAATAATAATTACTTTATTTGTATAGCACTTTGCAGCTCATAAAAGGGCACCAAGTGCTTCACATACAGACATACATAATTTATATAAAACCTAAAAGCAAATAAAACAAACTAAAACAGTAAACGACATGAAACAATTAATGGAGACTTTACTGAGCATACGCCTGTCGAAAGAAATACGTTTTTAAAACAGACTTGAAGGAGGCTAGATCAGCTTGCGATCGAAGCTCTGGAGGCAAGGAGTTCCAGAGCTTAGGGCCGTAAACAGCAAAAGACCGATCACCCCACATCTTATAGCGAGACCGTGGGACGACCAGAAATAAATTAAGACTGTTACTCCGAGATTTTTCACTGTATCGGAAAATAAAGATATAGAAAAACCTTAATTTGAAACGGGGGCGGCCGAATCGGTGCTAAAGAGAATGTACTCCGTTTTGCTCTCATTTAAGTGGAGAAAATTTTGAGATAACCAGAGTTTAATATCTCGAATACAGTTGAGTAACAGTAAGAGCATTTGCGTTGCATTGTATTAATGGCATGTAGATCTGAATATCTTTGGTATAGAAGTGAAAATGGATATTATACTTTGACATAATTGAACTAAGGGGGAACATGTATAAAGAAAAAAGGAGCGGTGCTAGAACCGAGCCTTGGGGGACGCCAGATGAGAGGGGAGCAACAGAAGAGGAAGAATCACCAATAGTGACAGAAAACAACCTATTTGTCAGAAAAGAGGTGAACCAACTCAGAAATACTCCTTTTAAGCCTATATGGTGTTCCAACAAGAAGAGGAGAAATTTGTGGTCCACAGTGTCAAAGGCTGCAGATAAGTCTAAAAAAGCTAAGATAACGAAATGCTTTGAATCGAGTGCCATAGTAATGTCATTGTGGACTCTCAGTAGCGCAGATTCTGTGCTATGACGAGGTTTAAAGCCCGACTGAAACTTATCAGCAATACCAAGTTCATCTAAGTGCACTTGCAGCTGTGTGGAGACAATTTTCTCAAAAATTTTTGAGAGAAAAGGCAAAGCGAGAGATTGGGCAAAACCTATTTCGTTCATTCTATGCCATTAAAACAGCTTCACAGGCGTGCAAACGTGCATGCACGAGAATGTGCACAAACACACAGAGGCGCACACTGGATCAATACAACATCAAAACTGATATGCACTTTATCAAATCCTTTCATTATTAGCAAGTCAGCCTTGCAAAAATCACACAAAAAAGTGGATTTTGGTTTTGTTTTGGCTGCAGGCTTCAAAAATGAAATCATGTCACCATGGATGACTATCAGAATTACAAGTTGGGACCAAGTACTTCAAAATTCATTAGGAACAGAGCGCGGTGCATTGCTTTATTGTAGGATAAATATGGCAACAAAAATAGCGTTTTTAATGGGTTTCAATGGGACAAAAAATGTCTGGAGGGTGATATTTGGATGGATTTGTTTTTCTTAGCCTTTTTAGGCCAATTTAAGGAAGTGAGACCTCCATTTTAAATTTAAAAGAAAATAATATCATTTGGCAAGTTTGAGCTATATTCATTCAACACAGCCAAAATGGCTTGAAAATAAAAATGTGAAAAGGACAAAAATGTACTTAGGGAGGGATAAGGGTTAAACATTAAATGGCTGGAAATGAGCATGCCATGGCCACTTTAAGGTAAAACATAGCTACTACTACATCACTGTGAGGGAGCCAGGTCCTGGATGCCACTATACCAGATTGTAGGCTAACTTTAGCAGCTCTTTCCTGCTCTGTTAGACTGGGGACTACACTCCTGCATCTGCAGACAAACTTATTTTCTGATAGCGTTATGTTCACCTAACATTGTTTAGCCGTCATTCTAAAAACATTTTCTCTTGTAACATGCAAAGTGACATGCACTGTTTGAAAGTATGAACAAGAATATTAATAATATTTAAGCTAGAAGGGTTAAAGTAACAGTCTTTTCTCTTTCCTATAACACTAGGACCAAGTAGCCATACAAGAACAAAGCTCTTCTATAGTTCTGTGTTCAAAAACTTTGGTAACCAACTGGTGAGGAGGCTTTGGATTTTTCCCCCTTTGTTTTGTTTTGGAGCTTCTTCCTTTTCGATATTAAGTATGTGTCCATCAAATGCATATTTATGATCCCTTTACATCGATATTACTTCAAAACAAGTAATTTGGAAACACAAAGTGTGCTGGAGAAAGCATTTTCAATTTCTGTATATCTTTAAAGCACAGAAAAGCATGCATTTATTTGCATATTTCACATTACTTTTGAATTAGATTTCCATGTTTTTCATAGTGGCTGAGTAATAATCCAAAGAACATCTGTTAAATTCTGAAAGCTAAAAAAATGCAGTGTGTGAATTTCTAAGCAAACAATAAAAACAAAAAAAATTAAAGTTCATCTAGCCAGTGCGTTTACAGTAAGGGGCTCATGTAAATACTTTGAGGGCAGTTTCAAAATACAGTATTCTGCTGTCAACCAAAGGCCTGAACCTGCCTCTCATGTATACCATGGTGTATCTTTCAGAGATACAAACAGGGACTAGTTTGAACATGAATCAAGCAAAGCACCATTTCCTTCAGTACATTACTTCTGTTATATTTGTCATGTTGTGTCTAGGAGCAAATGCTACACATTAAACTTGTCAAATAGCTGTCCCCACGAGACCAAATATACAACTTAACTTGTCAAAGGGCTCGAGACATCATGAACAGCTTTTATCCGTAATTACTTTCTGCCCATTCTTGTCAGGGTAATTCTATGTCTTGAAATATCCCTGAGCTGCAGCATTTTTAAAATAGCTTTCAAACCCACTTGATGGCCGTTTCCATAATGGCTCTGTAATCTCATTTGTATATGTACTTTTATTGAAAAGTACCACTGATGGCACAACAGAAGAATGACTGGCAATGTCTTGCAGCTTGAAGCAGGACAAAAAAATGATACAACCAGCACTGTCTGCAAATGTATTATCACAGCAAAATGGATCTTTTTTACGTCCATAAAGTTGCAAAAACTAAATGAAAAGATGAGAAAATAATGTGCAGGTTTTTCCATTTCTCTGCTAGTATACACCAAATTGCCTGCCTGCCTGCTCTTTAACTGGGCTCATATCTCCATCAGTGTAAATGTCACCAAGGCAAAAAGGTACAAAACAAAACAAACTGAATCTCAGATGAATTGTCGTATCTTCGGAAACCACTAATTAGGAGTCCAAATCAACCAATCAGACTGTTGCATGCACACAGCGCTACCTATTGAACAACAGCATTAAGACCTAACCTCTCTAGCACACTGCATGTTTCAGACTTCATTCTACTTTAAAATTATTCCATAGACTGATGTGATATGTAGACATATTTACAGTTTTTGTTTCAGTAAGGTATGCTGCTTTTCAAAACTTCCAGTCAAAGAGCGATTATAGTTTCTGTGTCACAGCTGGAGATGTTGCCATGACGATAACTACAGCGTACTGCGAGAAGAGGGAAAAAATGTATGTCAGTGACCAATTTTTGAGAAGAGTCTGCCGATTTGGGATGTGAATTCCTCCACTGGAGAACAAACAATAAAGCAAGATGCCTCACACATAAGGGAGGAATTCACATTGTTATTATGCAGGACAAAGTTAAGCTTTATACGAGCTCAAATAAAGGTCAAGTACTGACACTTATTAGAGTCCATACACTGCAAGCATCTTCTCATGAATTTTGTATCAGTTTAACCACAGAACCCAGATAAAATTTTATTTTTTTTAAATACTGCTTTAGGGAGATTATTTCTCTGTGAAATTATAGTTGTGATATTTTTATTTGCATTAGCTTGTGGCACAAAGGCGTCTGAATTTTACAACCAACTTCAGTGATTTAAAGTTTAAAATATTTTTGTTTCCTGTGAAACTTTGTCTTAAACTGGGCTTTCTTGTGTGACAGAGGTAACACATTTGGCATCTAACAGCAAACCATGAAAAGTATATTGTATACATCTACTACTGTATATCTCACGCTGGCACACTTTGTAAGCATAAGCTGCATACATATTTTAAAAAATACATTCATCTAACTATTAATGCTTTTCACTTTAGCTTTTGTTCATATAAGACATTTTTAGTTTGTTAGACATCAAATGAGATATTAATATAGCCTGTTTGAGATGTGTTTTTGTGTGTGTGTGTGTGTCCCTGCTTAACCAACACAGTGAAACATGTCAAACACTTGGCCAATACTGCAAGTGGCACCTCACATAATATACTGAAAACGAAAGTGCTGAGGCTTTGTTTCAAAACAAAGCAGAATGAACTTTTACACAGTTAACTTTAAGCTGGCTAAATAATATATATTTTGCCACCACCCAGTGGTCAAACTGGGTATTAAGGCTTTTTTCAGGTTGGATTTTAACTCAAAGGCCTCTGTCATCACTTACTGCTCCATCCACAAAAACAATAAGTGATTTATGGCTCTTTCATAGTGCAAACCAAAAATGGGCCAAACTGTTTCAACAAAAACTATCAAATAGTGGATGGTATCCTTGGACGTATTTAATCAGTTTCACCTCCATTTCTTCTCTATAATGCATTTTATATGAGAGGTTCAGATTTTTCCACAGTAAGCATGAGGCAGATTTCCTGTTCAAATCAATACAAAAATTCTAATTCATGAAGAAGAGAAGAACAGAGCCACTGCTGAGTTATACTGACATCAGTCACCATGGTGCTAACTGGAAATTTAGATGGTGCATTGTGTTCAGAAGCTACTTTGAGTTCTGTTTCAAAGTTACACTTACTGACTTCTGAATTTAAAATACCAGAGTAAGGCGGAAAATATGGCTGCAGTTATAGCACAGGTGTGGTGTGTTTGTTTGGATGCTTGTGCATGTTTGTATATGTATACGTTCACGTGTCCAAACTTGGGATCCTGATATTTCTCCCCAGTTCATGATTTACAACATAAAAATAACATTCATCTACACTGCTAAGCCTCTGTACTCAACAAGGATATGTCTGCTGGCTTGTAGTTATTTATCTTCACGAACCCATTAAAGTACAGACAGAGTACATGGATACTGACATCAGTTTGAGTCTCAGTCCCGGTAAGATGGAAGAAGAGGCAGTGCAAAAAAAGATGCAAATCAGATCTCATCTTTCATGACACCCCTCTGATCCTCCATGTGGAGCTGGGTTTGTTTCAGGAGCATTTCAACTGTCTGAGGGCCTCTCAGTTATAGAAAACAGTCCTCTAACATTAAGCTGCCCTAGTGCACAAAAAATGTCTCCTGGCAATGTCACCTACAGCAATCAAACGTAGATACCCTCGGGGTTAAGGCTGGAGGAGACGATGCTTTGAAGAGTGCGGAGGTTGCTGGGTAAGAGACGTGTGGAGCCAAGTCTTTTCAGAGAACCAGACTCCAATTCTGTAGCAAGAAAGTGTAAGAACAAAATACACAATTAACTTGTCAGCAATGAAGGAGGATCAGCAGTTCATTCAAGAAATCAGTGGTCATTCTTGTGACTGATACAGATCTGATCTAGGTGTGTGCTTATCAATGATAACATATGAAACTAAACTTCAGAGAACTGAGAAAGTTTACTATATGACAAACAAATACATTTGGAGGGATTTTCCTTTTGGGAATGAAAATAACGGATTTGCAGTATTTCAGGGCTGCTACCGATTTGGGTCATTTCATTGGGACACAGACTTAAAGCTGGTGAGGCAAAGCTTTTGTGCTGTAAGTGCTTAGGTATACAGTCTTACCTGTGATTCTCAGAGTGAACACAAGGTGGCACAGTGTCCATATACATGTAAAAACAATATACAGTATACCTAAGCCAGAATGAAACTGACTGAAATTTTACTTATTAACAAGGTGACGGTAAAGTGGAAAGTCTCTGCTGGTTTGTATATGGATTTAAAGTTAGATGAGTATGTGTGTGTATGTACCATTGCTGTTCTGTCCTGTAGGTTGAGCATGCAGCACAGTGACCTTGGTACCAGTCTGCTGAATGAACTGCTGCAGGTTAACCTGTCGTAGCTCTTTTGTCAGCTGTTCCAGCTCCTGCTCCTTCTCCTGTATTGGAAAAACATTTTGTCGTATAAATTAAGTCTATACATCTGATGGTATTAAGTGTAAATTGGATAATGCACACAACCACCGTTCAAATCCTGATGATGGTGCAAAAATGTACATAATTTCATTCGCTACACCCTAACTTATCTCTTTGTCTCCATTAACTCAAATTTAACTGAGGTGGATTTAATATAAAAAAAAAACACAATCAGAAAGTGATCATACTCATGAACTCTGCAGTCAAGTATACAGGGTTATTCAAAAAGAATTTCATTATGCAATATTTTATTAAGGAAAATGAATGCAAAACTCCAGCAAAGTCACAAGTATTCTACTCACAATCAACTTTTATGTCCTGTGTTACAAGTGTTCAGTGTGGCCACAACAACGGCGATCAACTCAGTGGATCTTGATATGCTAATACGCGCCTGGGAGGAATTCTCTTATCACATTGATGTTGCCCATGCTGCAGGTGGTGACTCCTCTCTAATCAGCTGAAGAATGTTGCAATACCCTCTCTCCCTTGCCCTTCTCATTACCTCATGCCTCCCACACCCCACTGGACCTCGCCCATACATAGAGCACTTAAGCTCATACTAGGATGCATGCAGCCAAGGACCCACTGCAATTCCCTGCCAGCCAGAGATTAAACTTTGCTTCAGTGCCCACAACTTAATGAGCTTAGATGCCTGTGGTTCCACCTATATGCAGGGGACTGGGTTTTCACATACAGAGACACACCACAGTGCCAAACTTATCCAACTTCTTAATGAGCATCTTTATGACTTCTTCTGGAATCTAACTTCTTTAGCATGTTCCAAACAAATCAGGAACATCACATTTTTAACAAATTGCTAAGGATGCCTTAAATTCTTGACAATTTAGAGGTAACGATGTTAAAAATTTATATTAATACAAATACTATACAGCAGAAACTGAGCTGACCTGTAACTTCTTGCTGGACTGGCCAAGTGAGCGTTCCAACGCCCTGCAGCTGCTCTCTAGCAGTGCTGTTTGCTGGCTTTGCTTTTCCAGCTCTAGTTTGACGTTCTCCAGCTGGGCTTGCACCTGAAATCCAGAGTGAAGATGAGGAATGAAAGCCAATGCTCATCACAACTTTTCAGAGGAGATGGGCATACAGTAAGTAACTAAACCTCACTGTAAAACATGTCCCGGGAGCAGATCTACGACTTTTCTAATTCAAGGGCCACATTTAACGCAGAGGGGCCAAGAATACATCCAACATTCATGCACCGTTCTTTATGGAGTAGGTTTCTACATTTCACCAGTAGTTTCTTGTTTGCCATCGGCTTTATAGATATGACTAGGGACACAATCATCAAACATTTTCTAAATTATTTCTTAAAGTCCCCTAAGTTCGAGCTCTTATTTTAAAACTGCTTAGAAAATTACAATTCTGAACTATTTTCATACTCGCACAACACAAACATGTTTATACTTATGTGCATAAATGACATAATACATGTTTTCCAGATATAAAATCGAAAACTTCTGAATGTATTGAAGAACGGAACATAACTACAGAGAAGAATTTAAACATAAATGTGTGTTTAGCTCCAGTGTTACTGTTAGCCCATATACAGATATAATCAACTGAACATTGCTCAACTAAAAAACATTTATCTGGTTTATATGACTACTGCTGAAATGCCTCACAAAGTCATTCATATCTAATGACTTTTACCTGCCTGGATTCAGTGCACAGGAGGTGCTATGAAGTACTGTAAGTCAAGAACCGTGACAAGACAGGGGCCAGTCAGGTTTCAGCTCAGGTCAGTGCCCCTCTGGCCCTAAAATGACAATGCAAACATGCCAGTGTCTAGCAGGCAGTGTTTGCCATGTTCAGCATCTAGGTTTAGTTTGTTAGAATGCTAATGTTTGCTACTAACCACTAAATACAAAATACATTTGAGGCTGATGGAGATGCCAATAGTTGTGCAGGCATTTGGTTATAAATCACATGTGTCAAACTCAAGGCCCGTGGGCCACATCCAGCCCACGAGATCATTTTATATATCTTCTTTTTAATGGCCCGGCGATATGAAGCGCCGATAACACATAAACTACAAATCCCATAATGCAGCGCAACAACTGCCTTACCGAATGCGATCATTCCCCCTTCAATTACATCAGATCAATCAAGCGTCTGTTGATGTATACAACCCTAATTTCAAGTCAAAGCTAGCCCCTAACAATGGCCAAGAGAAAAGTTGATTCTGAAAACAGAGCCTTTCTAAACCGGTGGGAGGCTGAGTATATGTTTACTGACATTGTC